ACAAATTATTGTAAAAACATCTGAAAACAAAGCGATCCCTCAGAAGCATTAATCACAACACAATTACAAGAGAATTGCAGACTCGGTTTGATTGAGTCTTTACATGAGGGATAATGAATACGTGCAACATCCCTCACGCCCACTAGCACTGGCTTGAGCGATACTAAATTGTAAACCTTTCGTGCATTAACTTTTATATGCTTTGCTGCACATACTCTATACACCTTTAGTGTTTTTTTGTCATTAGCAAAACGCTTGCCTTTGTTCCCGTAGCCTTTTACACTAGTACCTGAAAGGGAAAGCGACACAATTATGACGTATGCATAATTTATGTGGCACTAAAATATTCATATCTTATTGCTTTTGGCCAATTCTACTAAACTGAACTATAACAAAATATTTGTATTCGCTTTGACGTTGATTAGTTCGAACTTACTGGTTAATACTTGGGAAAGTAGTTTTTTTACAATAAAGGTAATTTACATCTCAAGCAAAATTACATTAAGAAAATAAATGTTCACACTTCTATAAAAATATTGAAACAATAAAAATGGTTTCAAGTTGCATGCTTCCAGATGAGCGAAAATATTTCAATAAATCAAACTTGAGAAAAATGTGCTAAGATTTTAAGAAAAAATAAAACAGATTCAAGAATCAAGTAATAATTAACATGTTATGTGTGATTAATGACTGATTTTTTCAGTATTTATAAATATATTTCTACTGCGTTACTATCGCAGTAAGGGCTATTTTTGCTTAATATTTTGTCCTCTTTTTAGTAATTTACATGGGTTGTAAGTGCCATTGATAATGTGTAAATTGGTTATTTCACTAAATAATACTCCATATTTTTAAAATGTTCATAGAAATTAGAATGAATCTGGAGGCGTGCTGCTTTAAAATGCTAATAAGTACATTGAAATAAAGGTAAAAAACAACTTTAGTTATCATGATACCCGTTTTCATCCTTTCATATATTGAGATATAATGAACTCGTCCACCAGCTACCCAAGTTCCATTATGTTCTTGCTTGGTTTTTCATTGAAACAAAAGCACTGCGACAATTTAAAGAAAACAAAAAGATCCAATTGATTCTTGAAAAGCATTGAACTGAATAGAGATATCAGTTTCTAATCACCTTGTAAAATTAGCACTATTCTATTTCAAATCACAATGAGCGTTCTACCGAATGTATCTGTTAACTACAAACATATCGAATAAATGATATAGTTATGTTTGCTCCTTAATTAAAACATTATTTCTAAAGTTTTTACCCAATAGAATTTAAATAATTTAAATTATTCATCATACAAGACGATTTTGTTATTTCAACTTGTGGTTATACATATTTTGTATAAGATTTATGACACATTGAAAAGCAAATGCCTGGGGAATGTATCAATACCGGCAATAAAACATCTGGTTCTATATTGTTTAAAGAGCCACATCCTGTAATATAAAACAATAATTCATGTTTTGAACAGTATATGAGAGCATCTTCACAATAATCGTTGACATAATTAAACAAGCATCAGCATCTTGTAGTATGCTAATCGATATTAACACGTGTGACCATTCATTTGTCAAAGTAACGGAATTTCTTCCAAGAAAAAGCTAAATGATGGTAAAACAAACCAAAACAATACTAGTAACATCTTTTTTATTTCTTTTTATTTCCTGAATATACTGACTCTTGAGTGGTTACATACATTGAAAATTGTAAACAGGGATTTTGTGTTGTATTATGGGACATAAGTAAATATGCAGATATTCTGAAGTGAAACAAAAATGTTTATTCTTTACGACATACACAAAAAAGAAAAATCAAGAATCCAAAAAGAAAGTCTAAAATGGCAAAATTGAAACTGTTGCAGGCTAGGTTTGATTGAGCCTGTTCATGGACAGTATTGTTAAGTGCAAACTAATTTCCAAGTCCCTAGCACCAGCCTAAGCAGAATTCAACATTTAACCATGAAAAGACGTTCATACGGCGGTTATCATGGAACCTTTAATGTGACTCTTCCGTGCCTTTCCATGAAAAGCGGCGTTTGGTCCCCAAATAATAGAAAGCGTGTGCCCTAACAGTTTCTGCTTTAAATTTGTTCATTTTTCTATTGTAAACTAAACTAAATTTTTTGTTGTTATATTTTGATACTGCTTACAGGCAAATATTTATAAAAAAAGATACAACGTGAATGAAAATGCAATTTTCTAACTTATCATTACGAATTAGGAACACTTTGTTGATCCAAATCTTGTTTGCCATACTAACAATTGTTTATTTATTTTTGCATTTTCAAAGTCAAGCAGTTCCAATTTAGAAAGACAATACATGTAGCTGCAATGAAATAACAAATAATGAAAGAATTATCTAGCATTCCAATTTCTTGCTTAATAAAATATGAATTTCAATTAGTCAATAAGTCATTACCAATGTATGCATATTCTGTTTTTTGGTGCTCGTTGCCACTGGTTCTTGTTGCTGTGTCATGTGGGGGTTGCGTTCATTGAACGCCACCTTTCCTTGTTGATCTTGTTTATCATATTTCATGTAATATTCAACCCATGCTTCTTCATTTTCATTTAGGTCAGAAACATCTTCAACAATAAATGATGAATTATTTACTTGTATCTTTCGTGCTGCAAGATGGTCTTTACCCTTAGCATCTTGCCACGTAAACCTTTCGTTTGATAGTACATAATTTTGCTGAAACTGCAATGCAAAAAATGACATGAGTAAAATATTGTAAACTGTAAAATACGGTTAGCGAGACGTATTTCGTTCCATTTCATGAATACACACATCTGTTAATTTTAATTTAGAACTATTTTTCTTATTATATATATAATGTTTAAATAATTATCAGGGTTGTTTATACAGTATATGTAGGTAAAATGGAAAGGAAAAAAACAACATCTGTACATGTAGATATTCACATTTGAGAATATGCGCATGCGGTTTAACATTTATAACATGTATAACGATGAATGTATTAAAGCAGATAAAAGTAGAAACACTTCACTGTCTATTTATATTTTTTAAACGTCCTTCTTGCCTTTTAAATAATTATTCACGAAATAAGATCGGTCACCCCAAGTGTCTTTTGATTAGTTCATATCTGATTATAATTCAATGGTATCATATATATAAATGATTGACGTGTCTGTGAACTCGTCTTATCAAACTAAAGGAGATTTAATTTTAAATAAAATACCTCTCGTGTTTATGTTTTTAGATAATGAAAAATGTGTTATCTGCCAGTTTTAGTGTGTATGCTTTATATCCTCTAAACGATGTCATATGTTATTTAGATTGGACTGTAATATGATTCTTTAGATTTCGAATAATCAACCTAAAATGCGATCTTAAATTTACTCATGTTAAAAGCATTGTAGAAAAAAAGTTGCATAAAACGTGTAAAAAAGTTTTTGACATTCAAAAGTACAAATCTAGTATATGAAAAACAGCAAACTCTTCGATAAACACATTGAATTAAAAATCTAAATATGTGAAACAAATTTCATCTTACATGTTTACATTAAAATGTCATTTTAACTTCCTTACCGGTACCAATTTCTGTACAACAATCCCGTATGACCCCAAAGAAAGAAAAAAAACCTGTAAATTAATAAGCACCAATATATCTTACACGATGCTGTCAGTCATGTCATTAATTTGTTACTATTTTGAAAAAAAAAGATTTTGATTTAACTAACTACACGTCAAAAAGAGAAAGACCTAACTTTTAACTGTCAAAATATTTATTAACAATTTATAAAGTAATAAATACCGTTATCAGAAGCAATCCACGGAAAAATCAATCACAAACACGATTTCAGCGTTATTTCAAAACTGAACAAATGAACTTTCGTCACAACTACACTAGACTGGGTATTTTTCGCGTCTGTTAAAAAATGGAAATAGAATATACAGAATTTAGATAAATACACCACGTGTAAATAGACGAATCGTTCATCTGAGCAATGTTAAAAAAAACATGACTATTATCTATCCATATTGCATTCTATGTGTCTTCTACATTATTCGCGAATATTTTCGGAACAGATTCTCAAATAAACGCATTTTAGGATCGTTCTAAAAGACCGAAACCAGCCGTCTTCACAAAGTTCTTTTTTACAATCTCTTTTCCAATTTCAATGAAAAGATATTACGTATTATGATATTGAGATATTAAGACACAGTGATTAACATCGAAATCAATTGCAATAGTAAGCATTAGTTCTCATTTTAGAATAAAATTACAAATATTCAAGCCCAGCATTTCAGAACTGAACACTAACCTGATTATCCACATTGAACGTAACTACTCTGTTGTACTTGTCAATTTAATGTTTTGTATATTACCAAACAACATATCGGTATAACAAAAGATGATATGAATATTTTAAACTTACTGTCCATCATTCTTGGCTGAAAAGATAATTTAGATTATTGTTGCTAACAGACATTCTTCATGCAAGAACATATCATGTAAATTTGCTAAGTATGATATATGTATAACATAGTATTATAATAGAGTTACCTTTTGTAGATTGTTAATCGTTTGTATGTTTTTGTAAGCTAGTCATTGGATTACAAAATGCATGGAATAATGCTTATGTTAAATCGTTTGTAAATTCCAAATGCAATTATATATTCGATGTACTCTTGTTCTGCGCTATAGACCAGAACAAATCGTCTTTGCAAACTTTACTTGCTCACATCCGTATGAATGTAACAACTTCTAGACAAATACTACCTCATGTTTACTTTCTTTTCTTTCAAAGTTTGAAATAATGTGTTTCAACCGAATAAAAATCAGTTCAGTCAGAATACCCTTTATGATTGTGCATTCACCATAAAATGACTATTTCAAGCTTCATCGAATTAAATTTAGCTGATTGTAAAACCAAAGTTTTATTTTCTCTTAAGCAATAAAACTTTAAATAGACGAATTTACATTTTATACCGAGTTATATGATTACAATACTTCCGGGTTTGTTTATCTTCGTCAGTCGTATTCGGATAGACAGCCTAATACAGTAGGAATGTCAGGTTTCAAACAATTGATTTTGTTGCTTCTTTTTCGGATATGTGTTGCTACAGGTAATTATAACTATTCAGTTAACCTAATTAGATTCGTGTCAAACATATTATGTAAAACAAAAATGTAAATAACAGATGTAAACACGTATTGCTTGTATTATAAAGGTAAACCGATTTAGATTTTTTATATTAATAAACTATTAAAACCTTGTAAAGCATGATCAGGAAATGTGTTGCCGTCCCTTTGTGTATTCGCATTTTCCTGGAGAAAATTAACAACGTGATGGAGTAATTCATTTACCATAGTCTAGTCGGCATGAGAAAATGATATTAAGAAATATACCTCGAATAAATTGATGACTAGCTTCTTATTTCTGTCGATAGCAATCCTTCATACTTATACAATGATGTGTTGGATGAAACTAGTAAAAACATGGTCATATACGTTGTTCATAAAATCATTCAACTAAGCGTATGACTTGAAAAACATCTTGATAAAAATCATGTCAGTAGTATCATTTGATGATACCGTTTCCTAAAAAAGTAGCCGATATATGGTTGAATGGCTGTTGTACATGTAATGTAATTATAATTAAAATAATTGTTAATTCAAGTGTTGTATGTGAATATAAAATTGTACTGTTACACAGGTAACATGTGAAGCATTTCTAGAACACAAAAGGTCCGCCATTGGATTTTCGATTCAGTCTCTATTTTTTAGAACTTAAGGTCACCATCAGAGTGACAATAAGCAACAGAAATTTGGTTGTTTGTAACCAAACGTGCTGTCCGGGTCTTTGAATAGTCAAAAAGTAAACATCCGTTAGCAACGGAAGTTATTACAGATGAATATTTATCAAAATGAAACAAGTAGATGATTTAAGCATACAAATTTTTACATTTAGATCTAGTTGAAAATGTTCAGATCATTGAAGTATTTGTCTTGGGTAATAAAAGAAATAACACACAGGTTTGTAGGCTCCTTCCGGGTGATATTTTACCAACAAAGTTATGTGCTATTTATAACTATATTGCTTGCCATCGTTAATATATTTTGCAAGTTTTATCAATAAAATCTGTCTTGTTATTCATAAGAAGTGATGTAGGTTTAAACCACCGATTGTCCGATTTGAAACAAGATATATCTCATAGTAGCAGGTGACTATTTATAGTGTATTCGCGTATAAAAACATTTTTTAACAATGCAGATAACGACTTTAAAAATACTGACACGCTTGAAAGGAAAATAAATGTTTTTACAAAACAGATGATTTTGACTAAAATCGATAAGGTAAAAGGTAAAAATACTGCCACGTTTAAAAGGAAAATAAATGCTTTTACAGAATGATAATTTTGACTAAAATCGATAAGGTGGGCGATTGAAGGTGGGCGGAGGGGGAAAAGATGTTTTAGTTTAAAGGCCAATTTAACTTAAAACTTTGCTATTTATATTTTTCAAAAGTTGATTAAATTGTTGTTCTGTAACAATTTACGAAAATGATATTTTCTAATATTTCGGCCCTTTGCGTTTTGGCAATGAGTAAAGTTATAGTGATTTTGTATTTTAAAATACCATATTGTTTGCAGTTTGCTACTTTTACCGCAATTTGTTTCATATTCAGTGCATATTTTCCAGATGGTAAGTATCTCACTTGTTCTAAATCCATTATTAAAAATGAAAATTATTATGTTATTTGGTACTGGCGTCAAATCCATAATAGCTTTTGTAAATTGTTGCAGGAATAACTGATATAACATACACACACGTTTTTTTTTGTATCTAGCCTTATATATTTGACTATCATTTCAGCTTTAAAAAGTCTATAGTACATGTAGGTACATGCTCCGTAAATATAATCATTCTTATTTCCAGTACCCTACAATAAATTTATGACATGGAACAGATCAAAAAACGCATGTACGTTAGCAACACCGGAGCTTGTTTATGATGGTAAAATATTTACTGTAAAGGAGGATCAGAACATGACAAATGATATGGATGGAAGGTGGCTTGGGTACTACAGGAATATGCGGGGGTTTGAGTATTTTGGTAACTCTATATTAATCTTAATACTCGCTTAATTCTTTTTTTATTTAATATGTTATCATTTTTTTGTGGTTACTTAAATCTCACATTTACGACAAAATTAGAAACAAATTATTCTTAACTGACTCAATATTGGTAATATCAATTTGCTTGTGTACATGTATACAACCAAAACTTATATCAAAAATGACCATTGCATAAAAACAATTTTCTAATATTTATAAGATAATGAAGTTGATCAATCTATTTTTTAACGTTAACATGTGTTTTTTAACACAGTTTTTTTTTTTAGTTAACCCCACCTCTCCATTATACTCTGTCATAGAAATGAATTGCTCCATATTATGAACGTTACTTCATGTTCACATTAGTTTTTCTTTGTTTTCCTACGTATCCAGTCGTCTATTAATTCAATGTTTACAGTGGCTTTAAAATGACTTATTTTGATTTCAAATAAATTTAGGATGTTTTAAAAATCCAGAAATCTTTGGAATTCCATCGACACAAATTGTACAGAATTCACCAGGAAATTGTTTTTCTTTATGTTCACGAAGAGGAACAGTTGTTGGACTAATGGGTCATGAGGTAAAAAAACAATACTAAATCATAGAAACGTAGAAAATTCATAGTTAATGATTAGCTTTGTCAATTGATTAACAAATTTAACTCTGTTTGTTTGTTCTTATAGCTAACCATAAATCGAATACAATTGAACTAAGTACCTATAAAATCAAAATAATATTAGTTTTAGATATCAAATGTTTTCAAATAAATTGACAAATGTCAAAAGTGTAGATTTCTTTTAAACTCAGTAATGCGACTTGTTTTAAAACGGAAAGTATATAATGATTATATTAGTATTTCATTTAATATAGTTTTATTCAAAATTATAGATTTTCTGTGCTTTTACAGTGTTATTGTTTTAATACGACCACTGCGGAGCAGAATGTAGTTAGCAATGCGTCATGTGCTAAACCATGTGAGGCCCCCTCTGAAGGTTTAGCTTGTGGGGGACAATCATTTATTTCCTTATATGTGGTTAATAGGAAAGGTAAGGCAAATATGCAAAAATGATGAGTGTGCATAATATTTCTTAGTCAACAAAATGTTTAAATGATATACTTACGCCCCTCAATGTATTTCAACATACTTTCTTCGCGTGGGTAATTAACATACACACTGAAATGTACAACGTCATATTGACTTTGAGGGTTTTAGTCTGAATTGACCCTTGCTACAATTTAGAAATTATCTATAAAAACAAACTTTATGGCAATTCAATGATTGAATTACAAAAAAGAGACGTGCGTCATTTAGCTTGTCATTATTCATAAATAATTAACAGTATTGATAATATAGTTGAAGCACAAACTTAACGTTGACTGATATTTTTAATTAAATTTGATTTCTTAAGAGAGTGCACAATTTCATAAAGCAATAAATATCTTTCAAATTCTGTAGTAAACTGTATTTTCATGCCACCAACGAGACTGACAGCAATTATATATCCACTGTCATATATTTCCTTTTCCTTTTTTCGATTAATAAGTCCAGTTAATTTCATGGGAATATAACATTTAATTAGTTAAAAATGTTTTTAAAGATAGTTCTTAATAGCTAATAATTTCTTGTCCTTTGTAACTTTTTAAACTGCCTTCAATTAATGTTGCATAAATCGCAATTATAATGTTGAAGTTAAAAAATTTCAGCATCTTATCAACAAGGATTTGCGATAATTTTGCTTGTTATTAATGTAGTCAAGCATTTTCAAAATGTTTATACTGTTACAGTTCTAAAAGTCAGTAACGTGATTAATTCAAAAGAAAATAAAAGTAACTGCGTCAGATTGGGAAGCAACAACCTTTGGTGGGATAAGTGCAACGGTTGGTTACACAGTATATGCAACAATGGTAAATATTTGAAATCCTCATTGTAGTTAATATGAAACACCATTGTCATTTTAAATTTGGACATTAATAGCGCATGACAAAATGTTTGGTACAAATCAGTGCTCTATATACGCTTGTGATACAAACACAGCTACCTTTATATGAACTATTTGGTGCTTTATGTTAACTATTTGGTACTTGATTTTTAAACAAATTCATTTGGAAAAGGACAAATTATAACTATGTGTGACAATTATTTCGCAGGAATATGTAAAATGACACATGAAACGTTTTTTATATTTATTTTATTAATAACAAAAATCCTCTATACATATTCTAATGCAACTATTCCTAAAGTAAAAGATGTTCAGGTAGTCAAAAAAACTGAAAACTAAATGTTATGTCTAGAATTACTTGTGCATTCTGACTGACTACAGCAATGTACTTTGCAATAATGCATAAATTACAACAGGAATTTAATGCGTCCCTTTATTATCCCTTAATTATGTGTTGAACATTTCATCTGTAAATTTTCCTTGTCGTTTTTTCTGATATTGTAGGGGTTTAAAGTTATGTTCTAATGTAAATTAAAAGCTTTGATATTATACTCCCATTAATTTTAGGAACGGCTGTTTACAATGTCTTTGCTCCAGCGACAGTTCCGGAAAATTTACCTTGGTATTGGGCAAATAACTTATGTTTTGGCAGTGATGTTCGACCACTTTTATATGAAAATGCTGTGAACTTTAATGGAACAACTTTAGAGTCTTGGACAGGAATGTGTCGCAGTCTGTCAATCTTCACATTTTCAGGTATGCTTTAGTGTCAATATAGCGTTTTATTTAGTTGAACATAGTTTGTCAACTATATACATTTGTAATGCTTTAGGAACTATTGTTTACAATGCCTGCAACATTGACATCAATTAAAATAATTGTCACTTTTATTAATCATGGATTGTAACTGTCTCTTTCAGAACCTATTATTGGAAACGATTATTTAGAATATGGATATTTGAAAAGATCGGATACTCCTGACAGGTACGAAATTCAGTTTACCAGCAACTTTCATGAACGAAAGAAATCGCTGTGCAAAGGCGATATACAAACAGCAAAAGAACAACAACAAACCAATGATGGTGATGATTCAGGTACAGCTGGTATTGCGTTAACATAATATAGTTGTTGAAATACAAATTTGATAAGGAAAATATTAGAATAAAACATGCATTTTGATTTAAGGGCAAAACCGTATTGTATATAAGTTTTAACGTGTTGTCTTTAACATAAAGGTAACAAAATTATAAACAACAAGGTTAACATAAAAAAGAAGACAACAGATAACCATGTTCATTAAAAAAAACTATACATACAATGAATAATACACTGTTTTGTAAAGTCTTAATAACAGGAAACCCATTCTTTCCTAAAAGATTAACAAATATATGATATCATTTATCTGATGATTCAAGTTATTGATAACAATGAAAATTCTGAAAATTGAAATGTAAGTGCATGGGGAAGGGGGCGTGAGAGATAAAATTGCTTATTTTCTATTAATGAATCACTTTTTTCTTGTTCATAAGAATGTATTGTAGCTCGATTGTGTTGGAAGATAAGGTTATTGAAACACTCTCGAAACTGCAACCATCGAAAACCATGTAATAAAATTCTTCATTTTAATATAATTTTTTTTATATAAAAAAATGTATTTTCTATTTTTTGCTAAATATGACTTAAAACTAATTTCATGTCAATATGTAGTTTATGCTGGTTTTCTAATTTTACATTGCTTTTTACTGCATCTTCACCAGTGTTTTGTATTTTTTATAAAGATCCTACATATAACATTTATACGCCAAATTATGTATTACATTTTGACGTCGTTGTCCTTGACGTCATGTGACGTTGACGTCATTTCCTGTAAACAAAGTATACCTGATGAAGACTTTTGAGTCGAAACGTTGTATATTTTTCAAACAAAATAATTACATTTTTAAATTGAAACTGGAGTTGATTTCTATATTAAAACTTACAACCAACAAGTAGTAAGCAATGGTTTCTTGCTTACGAAAACAACGGCTTGCCCCTGGAGTGGTTTAAACCCACGTGACCAGCATTCTCTAGATTAAAAATTCGATTTACACTCAGCCACGCCGCCACTGATCATTATTCATGACACATATTTTAGGTGCAGCAGCTATTGCAGCTGGTGTTTCAGTCGCTAGTGTCGTTGTGATTGCTGCTATTGTTGTTTTCATAATACTCAGAAGAAGAAAGTATGTTCAATCTATATCAATATATATATATAGAAAATGTATCATATTTGTTTATGAAAATCGTAACAAAATACAAAAGCAATTTTCCTTATTCTTACTGAATCAGACGGGTTTATAAATATGAAAATTGTTTTTTTACTGTTATGAGTAGATTGCTGTAAATCTTAACTGCTATACTTAACATTATATAAGTCTCATTTTTTACTATTACAGATTATACAAAAGTCTTTTGTTATAGATACAAGCATATTTTCATTCGAAGAAACCTTTCAATAATATATTTTCAACCTTTATCTATTTTTTCGGTATCAAAATGGATATACTTAAATATGTTACACAATTTTTTTATAGTTTTTAATCATAAATATGATGCTCAAATAATGATTATCAATATTGTAAGTTTCAAAAGCATTATTTGTAAAGATATTACCGCATTTAACATTTCATGAAAATAAAGGGAGGTAATTAGAAATTTATTTTCTATAAAGTCAAAGTCAAATTTGTCAATGAGAAATGAATGCATATATTTTAATGATTACATAAAATGTGCACAAATATTTGCACTACATATTTTACATATTCTTCGATGTTTGAAAATTGAAATTTTATAAGCATAATTATATACATATATAACATTTCACTTAAGTGTGGCATTCAACCTCAATTATAACATACAGGATCTTTAATCATGTACAATGAAAAAAAAACAAGCATTGAACTTGAACTTTTTATAATTTCTACATTAATTTCATTTGAGATTTTTAACTTAATGGGGAAAAACACTGTACGCAAAATCAATATTAATTAATTTTGTCGAATTGTTTCATCGAAATTTTAACAACCTATTTTTATGGTTTTATATACTAAATATGATTCTATTCTGTATAGAAAGATGGCTCCGGTTCTATGCTGCAAGACAACAACCCGAAATCAGAACTTAGAAAACGAACTTCGTAAGCAAGAGCATGTTGATAAAGAAAGAAGGGAGTCAAATGAGTACGCGTTGCCTCACCACGGAATTGCTGATCCAAATATTGAAGCATCGTCAATGGAAAACAGTTATCCGCATACATATTTTGTACTTGAAAAAACCGGAAAGGAAACTAATAATGTGAAAGGTATATATAACATAGCAGGTCCCATAAATTGCACAGACATTGAAAATCAGCAAAACAATTACGATCGGCGGCGTAAACTAGGCGAACACGCCACCTACGACCGAGTACAAAACGCACAAGTTGGTATGAAAAACAACGAATACGACACAACGGAAACGGTTGCTGCAAAACTTAGTATGCATACTTCTCCGAAAGGCGATACTCATGACTGTCAAGAAGCGGAGGGAGATACATACAATCACATAACCGGTGATTTATCGAAACACATCAAAACTGATAATGTATACGGGACCCAATATCAAGCTGATGAATGTTCTGGAGAAGGTTATTCCAGCGAACAGAGGACGACTGCAGTAGAAGAAGACAATTACAGTCATATACATAATGCTTAACTGGGAAAGCCTAAAACTGACAATGTTTATGGAATTCATTAACATTTCATGCTTAATTTCAAATAATTTAGAATGGTTATGTAGAGATGTTTGTTTGCTTTGAGACCAAAATAAATAAAACGTATCAGTTATAAGCAGATAATACATTCTCATCAATGCTGCTTTAGGCGTAAAATTATATACTGATTTTTTTTTCAGTGCCAAACAGTAAGAAAATACGTATATGATAAATTTCAGTTTGAAATAAAATCGTTGGGTCCATTCAAGATATGATATACTGAGCTTGATGAAATGGTGAAAAAATGTTTATTTTGACTTTAATTTAAACATATTCACTGTCTTTACGGGATTATTATTTTGTTTTCAGTTGCTCATCATGCTTATAAATATATTTGTAGTTATTATTAAATTTTACGTTTAACCTAGTTGATATAAACTAAAAGATGTTATAATATATGATATAACAAGTTCACATGCTCGAAATATAGTTCCAGCTAACTTAAAAACTCATCAAAAAAATGTGCTATCCGATGCCAAAATCGATACATAAAGGAATACGTTTGGTGCAGACACATAACTCAGATATAAAGTTTTCAAAATTAATTATTTAGTTTTAACAATGCCATTTTGATTATCTTTTCATTTACATAAAACAACTATTTAATTTAAAAGATTAAATTTACAGATTGAGTCGGAAGCTTACATAGTTTTCTTAAATACATTACGTAAAAATGTAAACGTAAGCTATTACGAGGCGCACAGTCGAAACATGATTCTTACATTATTTTCGAATCATCATGTAATACATTATGTATGTAATTTATCATCTTTTATTATGTATCACATATAAGAAACATAAAGAGTATAGAGTATTCAAAAGAAAACATATATTCAAAGAGTGAAAAAGACAGTCCTGTTAAAATCATATGAGGAATTATGATTTAACCCATAATTACACTGATTCAGACAAATTTGAAGAAAAGATCCTGTCAGTGATAAAATCCACCTATAACCCACCAGCTTAATACTCTTTTCAGGATTGAAAGAGTGAATCTTTTGTCAAATAAACACACTTGAAACGGAATCAACTTAAGATAGAAATAAAAAAATAATACATATCTCATTCTTGTTTCAATTCTCAAATTTAGTATAAGACATATTTTCATAACACATAAGTATTAGTGAGAATAATTGATTATTCGTAGCTGTCGGTACTTTTTATTGGATAGAAAGTGATGCTACTTCACGATAATTAATTGATTTGTGGCTCTTTGAAATCATAGACCCGATCTGTTACTATAAGATAATTCTTTCTAATACGATCACATGCGTTCCAATAGGATTGTCCAAATCAGGCTCTCGGGTAAATTTCGATCAAACACGATTATTAAAACGGAGGTTCGCGATTTAGAATAGCCGGATACATTGATTGATATTATTGCAGCGATATGTTTATATTTATCGATTTTCCTTGTTTTTCAAATCTTGGCCGATTACAATCGATTTCAAACTTTGCTAAAGCAAAAGGATATTCGAATCCTTAGTAATATTCTATAACCATGCCAGACAGATTTTGAGGAACTAATTTTTTTCTTTCTCTGGATTCGTAGTAGGAGAGTGCTTGGAGGGGGGGGGGGGTGTACTGGCACGCCTGACTTACTTTAGATGAGATGTTTAGACAGCATTACCATTCCTCTCCCACCCCTCCCTATTGTCATTCCGTATTTTTTGTTAACACATCTTCAAATTTACAATTTTCTTTAAAAAGCACGTTGACTTCTAGAGTAGTTTGACAAGCCTTTAATCTTGCAATGTACATTTTGGCCCTTTGTCACGGACACTTGACGATCTGTTACGATTTTTTCTTTTCCTTTTCACCTTATCTTTATACGACGTAAAATTTATCCTATATCTATTTGTACCATATTAGTGGCATACCGTAAATGAAAATCGAGAGTTGTCTCCCTTCCGAAATTAAATCATTACAAAGTGTACGCTAAAATGAACTACCTCAAATAATATGTATTAAAATATGTGTATCTTATTTAAATATACTGATAACTTTGTACTATTTAAACATAAATGGTTTAACGAAATAGATTTATATATCATATATAAACGTATCGATATCTTTCTCATTGTTAATACATTAGTGATTGTGGTAATAAGGGGACAGATATCAAATCGGTATACCTTTAAACGTAAATTTAACTATGCGCTAATTTTAGATAAAACTCCGGTATGTATCTTACACTATTATATTTCAACAAAGTCGTGCTTGTGAAACGTTTATTTGTTTGGTTATTTTTAAACATGGTATTATGATTTTGGATTTTATATTGAGCTTATTATTATTCATTATACAAATATCAGGTATGAATTACTACATGTTATATTTTTTACTGCAATCTTTGTTTACAAAACAATATAAAAAGGCTTAAACAAACATTAAGACATAGTAAACTATCCATTAAGATGTTTACGTTTCTATAAGGATATTCGTCAAAGCATACGCTTTAAACAGCGTGTTGAAATGAAAGGCAAATTACACGGCAATACAATGATTGTTTAATGCTACGGTTACCATGCAATTAAGCAATATGACTTTAAGAGGATATAAGAAATGAATCATCTATTTCAATTATCATGATACTACATCACACCTGTTATTGCAAGAGTACATACTGAAAATTATTGTTTTTCTCAAAATACGATTACCGAGGTTAAAATCGAGTGAGCTTAAAAAACAGATGGTTTGGACCGAATGCCTTATGGAGGTAGATCTGTTCATATGCCTATTCATATATAAGTTTTAACATCGACGGGCTCCTATGGTTAACTCAATATAGTTGTTATGGTTGAGTGTTAAACCCCAGTCACACTAGAGCTTACGATTACTTGCGACCACCGGCGACTTGTAAAACTGACGATCATCAGCTATTGTCTGCGACCAAAACCATTTTTGCACAGATAAATTTACTTCTGCGACTATCGTAAGACAAGGCATCATTGACAATCGCACGACAGGTCATAAGTAAACGTACGATGGTGTCAAGATTGCCTGGGACTACTTACGACTACCCGTGACATAACATGCGATCACCTACAACCTGTCGTACGACCATCACACGATTACTAAAGACTACTTAAGAATATCAGTGACTGGTGGCAATTTGAAAAGACTGTCGTAAGATTGACGCACTTCCGAACGACGATCGTGCGACAGCCTAAGACCTTATAAGATCACTAGCGACCTGTTTGATCGCAAGGAGGTTGTTGTGCAAGCTCAAAAACCTCTCTACGACTGAAATTGGTCGTGGGACCTAAATAAGATAACCTGCGACTGTCAAAGATCACCGATGACCGTCGTAAGACGTTTTAAAGATTGTCCGCGACCAGAGGTCACTGGCGATCGTGAACTGGTCTTCACTGGTCGTAAGCTCTTATGTGACTGGGGCTTTACGTAGCACCAACACAGTATTGGTCATATGGCGACGCGACGTTCCAGATTTTACTGATGGAGGAATACCTCAGTTGATCCTCTGTGCATTATTGCACGCACAAATCGGCACCTGAGTAGATCCACCGGTGTTCCAGAAGCTAGCTGAATAGCTTCCTCACACGAACTAATCTGAAGTCTCTAACTGGATTTGAACTCACGGCGGGGAGGTTCAAAACGTAATATATACAATATACTACAATATACAAGTAAACAAAATACCGGTATTTATGTATGTTGGGCATGTTACTTAAGTTAAGATATTTATAACAATCGTTTAGGCTCTGCCTGTTGTAATAAGTTCAAAATATAATGTTTATCAATAATCAGAGATATCCTTTTTTCAGTTTGATGATAAATCTATATATATATATATATATATATTGTTTGTCTATAAGGTTATATATGTTCCGAAAATGAACTGCATAATGTTACTAATTGGACCGATGCAGTTGAGAAATGTGAGTTAGCCACGCCTGATATAACATTAGATGCCAATGGTTATAGAGCAGAAGTTCAGGATGACGAATGGAATGGTCAAGTGTGGACTGGATATTACATGACGAATTTATACTTTGATTATATTGGTAGGTATATAACTTGCAAATATAGAAAATTATATTCTATATAATTATAAAACACCAATGCAATGCGCACATTGATAATTTTGAAGAAAAGACAGATGATGAAAGATAATCGATAAGAAGCATGAAAATATGGTATTCAACAATCCAGAATGGTCTTGTTTTAAATATACATGTACAAGTATTCTTCGCTCTCCGGACAATACGTTATTCATTAACTAGTCAAATGTTTTAATCTAAAGGTTGTGTACAGGTTTTCCAAAGGGAAGCAAATTTTATGAATCAAAGAAATACACCTGGGACATGCCACACTGCGTGTGGAACATCCAAGATAGGCCTAACAGGAGATGAGGTGAGTAAATATAACTATTTTGTTAACATCATTAGAAATATTCAATGTAGCATTTAATTTGAAATTATCTTGGTCCTAAATTTTGAGGAGTAGTTTTAATAGATAATTATGTGAATTGATTTGACATTATTTTCAATTTAAGCAAAAAAACGAACCTGTCTTTCTGCACTATCATTTTCATTGATCTTATGAAATTATTCTTGTAAATTTCTATGTATTTATTAAAAAGACTGGTTGCCAAATTGAATGATTGTGCAGTTTTCAGAAACAAATCAAATGTTTAATTGACAAAAATAATCCATGTTGTTCCAGCTTAGATATTCAAAAAATTTAAGTAAATTGTATAAAATATCATCTAAACACATCTGTGAGATCATATATCATGTATTTTGTAAAAAGGCATTTACTTCCTCTATTTGTTTCGTAAATAAGTTTACACCTATTTTAAAAGTAAATCTAGGGATATTGTCCTTTTGTTTTCATATACAAGTGTTATTGTTTAGACAACGACCAGTTTGTTAATAATATGCAGCCATATTGTAACACGTCGTGCGACTCTCGGGATGGCGTAGTTTGTGGCGGGAATCAACATATGTCAGTATATAGAATAACCAACGGTAAGAACTTTTATTTGTTTGGATGCTTGTATTCATTGCAAAAAAGATACTCTATTACACGAAAATAGACATGGCACTCTGAACTTTATCACATGTAATTTAATATGTCATATTCTGTTAGTGGTAATTGGTATAAAGGTCATATATTTTCTGATAATTCAAAACCGTCCGGTTAGCTCAATAGGTAGAGCGTTTCACTGTGAATCGGGCGACCTAGGTTCGATTCGTACGGCACAGGTCACTTTCGTGGTGATTGATCATGAAATCTTTTCTACGGTCATTCGCACTGTACCTCTGCTCTTGTATGTACATAGATGTTCAGTTCCTTGCGAAAGTGAAGGCAACTAGTACTAGAAAACTGCTTGGCAGCTGGCAAGGAAAGATGCAGTGGCTGAACTGTGCTCTGGGGAATTCAATGTGGCTTACTGCCCTGATAAGAAATGAAAACTACCAACACCACTCTGATAATTTAATACACAATATGTGTAAAAGAAAGGGAAGATAATTACCCGAAAACTAAAACCCTGTCTTTAATTGGACTTGATCAATTTCAATCAGGACACCATACATCATTTTAGGGCAAATTACTGACTGAATAGCAAACAGTGCAGCCCATGGTATGACTGTTCAATGTAGGGATGATCTCGGCCTTCAATTGTCGCAGACAAGATGCAGTCGCCACAAGAACGCTAAGGGTTAAACAGAGACAATATTTACATGGAGCATAACCTGTCGCAAACAAAAATAAAGATGTTGTCTGTTTTCTTCTAAAATGCTTGTTAAAATCTCAAAAACGTTCACACTCCATTAAGAAATAATTCATAGAAATAGATTAGATAAATTTCATTTTGAGGTAAATGTGCAGTCTTAAAGTCAGTTAAAAATGACGTAAAGACATAATTTTTCACTTTTTGCTCTAGTGTCGGGTGATATAAGCGACGGTAATATAGAGAATGGCTGCCTCGGTGTCGAATATCAGTATGTATCTAAGATATTTAAATTGAAAAACTGCAGTGAGTTTATGCGACCCCTCTGTTTGTACAGTAAGTTAATACAAATAAATCAATAAATAAAAAAATAAATAAAATAAATAAATAAATAAATAAATAATGATAATAAGAAAAATGATAATAATCATAATAATAATATTATAATGAATTGACAAAGGATTTTTTGTTTGTTTTTAAATTCAGTCTTTTATTTCATGCTTTCCGGTGTTTTACTGTAATTTATCACATAAACCGCGGCGCAGGAGTGTAATAAAGCCATTTAATACAAACGATATTACACTAGTGTAATAACACTTTGACGTGACGTCATTTGACGTGACGTCTATATAGAAACGTTATAACGTTAAAGCGCGCTAATGTTATCGTAACACTATAAACGCGTCATTGAAATATTACTCATTTTAACAGTTTACCGTTCTTATTTTATATATGTGATAAAAATAATATTATATTCGTGTAGATTCAATACTAAATTTATTGAACTCGTTGAATAAAACAATATAATGCTCGCCAGAGGCTCGCATAATATGATTTTATTCAACCCGTTCAATAAATTTAGTATTAAACTACACTCATTCAATATCCTCTATATGTCAGATGATTACATTCTGAAAAACCACTAGATCTACTGTAGTGATATTTCTGAAATATATTTTTCACTTGAGCCGGACTTTATCTGAATGCGGATGAAAAGATTATCATAACTAAACGGAATAATAGGCAAAAAGTAAATGCTGACATATGTACATTTTGTTGCTTTATGAAAAAGGCGTCGATGTCATCATACGTCATGTTAAAAATGTAACAAAATTACAGAACTATATTTCAAAACTGATGATGTGACGTCATGATGTGATGACGTCATAAAGAAGAATGTGCGACGTTACGCGGCAAAATCAGTAAAAAAAATACTTAAAATCACTTTAAAAGCATGAAATAAAGGAACAATTTACTTGTTTTACATATAAGATTGAAATATATTTAATTCGTAGACACCAGCTATTCTATTTTCACTCGTGGCTACACCACTCATAAAAATGTTGCATCTTGTGTTCACTCAGTGAAATATATTTCAATCTTACATGCAAAAGAAACAAATACCCTCTATTTTATAGTTCTTGACATAATTACTAAAGTGCCGTACAAAAATTAAAAAAGAGTATTCGAACATGTGTGGACTACCGGTCAAAGTTTTACTAACAAAGTATTTTTATGAGTGTAATCTATAACATTACCTGAATAACGAAAACATGTCATTTAATTAAGATAAGAGAATAATAACTATAATTAAATTTGATTTATACCTTTTAGCTGGTTTAGAGAAAAGTACAAATGGTAGACATTACCCATGGACAACAGCGGCGTTTAGATGCTTCGAGCATGACACGATCCCAATATCTTATACGTCAGCTTCAAAGTTTAAAACTGTTCTCACCGGAATATACTGGACAGGAACCATTAGAAGCCAAGTTATTCATAAATATGATGGTACTGGACTATTTTCAATGTTTTATTGATTACAAACTATTTAATATTTTGTGTGATATATTATTAATAATAATAAATACATGTTTATTTAATGATATTCAATAGAAACACTATGAAGCATTTTGCATAAAAGATCGAGATTTTATCTATTACATGGTTTACAACAATTTAGATAATATAAAGGTAAACAGAAAAATGCTTAAAACTTTTGGGATAAATGGTATCGTATTACTTGAAACCAAACACAAGTTTCACAAAACTTTTCAAATTTCAACAATGGCTTTGATTGAAAACGATAAGGTATTTATTTCACAAAAAGAATAGCTGACTTGTAAGTGTATCTCACGGGTTAAAATAAGATATGTTTAAAGGACTCTTCATTTACAAACATTTTACTTCAAGGTTAATTTTTGTTTACCTAAAAGATACTTTTGGTGTGCATGTGTATTGTTCAAAACATTTACACTTACATGTACCAGATATCAGATATCCACATACGAAAATTACACTACTTTTAACTAAATTTTGTTGCTGGTATAACATTATTGTTCTTTTAAAATGCAGTACTTAAACATTGAAATTATTAAGACCGTTAATGTAGTAAACGCCTTTTAAACACATTTATCTCCTCGTATTATATAGGTGAACTAGAAGAAGGCAGTAATATCAGCTACGGGTATCTAGCAAAGAACGAAAACAATGTCACTGTCCTCCTGTTTTCTGAAAACAACAAAAAGATGGGAAGACTATGTAAGGAAGAAAGAGCACAGGATATCCAACGGCCAGGTAAAAATAAAGATAAATCAAACCAATCAGTTATATATTGTCTTATTTTTCAGGATATACACTAAGAAATTGTTTGCTATGGCATAAATGCACAAACATTTATATAAAATAATGAAATGCCTAAGCATAAAAAATTACTTGCTTCTCTTGTGGAGCGAAACATATTATACAGAGGACTCTAAAATTGAAAAACGTTTATATTACTTTACGGTAGATCTGTTGTTACCAAATTGAAAATGTTTGAAAACTGTACTCTTTTTTTTCTTATTAAGGTATCTGTAGCGAGAATAACGTAAAAACAAAACAACGGAACAACATTGGACAAACTACTCCATTTGTATCAGAATGATATTATTTCTTAGTCTTTGTTTTTGAACTCATCAGCAAGTTACGATTGAATAACGAGTTTGATTAATTTTATTGCTTGTCTTTCCAGCTTTTGTGTACGTTTTTGTGGCTATTCTGGTAGTTTTATTCATCGTTGGTATCATCGTAGCAGTTGTCATCTGGAAAAAGAGGTACTTCAGTTGCTAGATTTAAAGTATTAATGGGCGTTAGACCTGGAAAGAGATGCACAGCCTGCCCCACAATTAGATGCCCATTCAGTTCAATAGTGAGATGCACAGTCTGTCCCAAAGTATGATGCACAGTATGTCCAAAAGTTAGATGCACAGTCTGTTCCAAAGTAAGATACACAGTCTGTTCCAAAGTTAGATGCACAGTCTGTCCAAAAGTGAAATACACAGTCTGTCCAAAAGGATGATACACAGTCATTCCCAAATTGAGATGCACAGTCTGTCCAAAAGTATGTTGCACAGTCTGTTCCAAAGTAAGATGCACAGTTTGTCCAAAAGTGAGATGCACAGTCTGTCCCAAAGTGAGATGCACCGTTCGTCCCAAAGAATGATTCACATTCTGTATCCAAGGTGAGATACACAGTCCCTCCCAAAGTATGATGCACAGTCTGTCCTAAAGTGAGTTGTACAGTCTGTCCCAAAGTGAGATGCACTCTTTGTCCCAAAGTGAGATGTACACACTGCCTCCAAGTAAGATGGACATTTTGTCCCAAAAGTAAGATGCACAGTCTGTCCCAAAGACAGATGAACAGCCTGTCCCAAAGTGAAATGCACAGAGTGTCCCAAAGTAAGTTGCACAGTTTGTCTAAAAGTATAATGCGCAGTCTGTTCCAAAGTAAGATGCACAGTTTGTCCCAAAGTGAGATGCACAGTCTGTCCCAAAGTGAGATGCACAGTCTGTCCCAAAGTTCGTCCCAAAGAATGATTAACAGTCTGTATCCAAGGTGAGATACACAGTCCCTCCCAAAGTATGTTGCACAGTCTGTCCTAAAGTGAGTTGTACAGTCTGTCTCAAAGTGAGATGCACTCTTTGTCCCAAAGTGAGATGTACACACTGCCTCCAAGTAAGATGGACAGTCTGTCCCAAAAGTAAGATGCACAGTCTGTCCCAAAGACAGATGAACAGCCTGTCCCAAAGTGAAATACATAGAGTGTCCCAAAGTAAGATGCACAGTTTGTCTAAAAGTATAATGCACAGTCTGTTCCAAAGTAAGATGCACAGTCTGTCCCAAATTGAGATGCACAGTCTGTCCGAGTGTATGTTGCACAGTCTGTTCTAAAGTTAGATGCACAGTCTGTCCCAAAGTGAAGTGCACAGTTTGTCTAAAAGTATAATGCGCAGTCTGTTAGAAAGTAAGATGCAAAGTCTGTCCAAAAATTGGATGCACAGTTTGTCTAAAAGTATGATGCGCAGTATGTTCCAAGGGGAGATTCACAGTATGTCCAACAGTGAGATGCACAGTATGTCCAAAAGTTATGCGTGTGCCTTAAACAAGGAAGCATTTGTTACATAATTAAAATTCCATATAATTTTATTGTATTCAATTCGTCTTCTACACAAATTAGTACCATCTCAAGTGTCTGAGTATTTAGCTTGTATTTGTTTTTGACATGGGAAGATGAGCATTCCCTTTTTTTTTAAAAGTACTGTAAAATTTATGCTGCCGAAATATAAACTACCGGGCGCTGTTTAGATTTGTGGAGCTTCATTGCAGCTATGTAATGAAATAAAATAAAACAAATTACGGAAAATATATTTAACAGTTTTTTTTCAATGACATTTGGTTATATAAAACTGATTGTTTAATAAATAACATTTACTTCTTCAAGTAGGTTGTTCGCATTTACTGTCTGCGTGTTTGTACTTGTAGATGTATCAAAGCCTCAAACGTTTTAAAGAAACTCCACTGAGGTCCAAAGGTCTTAAACCATAAAATTTGAAGACCTTACGAATATCAAATGGAGCACTTTAAATGGAATAGTCTGCAAAAAAAGATAAAGAATTATACACAAAACCAATTTAAAATCGATTTTTTACGATTTTTCCCGGATTTGATTGAAAAGCGTTACAACGCTTTTCATTGTTGTGTTATTTTGCAGAATAAAATGATTGTTCTAGGTCAAACGGGGCGAGGGAATGGCCTGGAATTTTGCACACAAGTTATTGATTGAGACCTTTATCAGTTGGAACACAAATCTCGGAAAAATATTTCCTGTCCTTTAATGTCAAAACACCTCGGTGGAGTCCCTTTCAGACAATGGATATACTACAATGTTTCCACTGCATAACAATTCAAATTACTAGTATTTTTCTTTCTTTTATTCTTTTTCAGAAAGTCAACGCAAGAGGCACCAGTCAGACAAGCAAGCAGTCAGAATCACTACATAACACCACTATTTAAGAAAGAGGACGATTATATTTATTCAGAAGTAGTTGAAATGGGTGAGAAAGAAACAAATAAGTTTATAGGGGATGACGGTTATGAAATGCCTGTAATGAAATCAAGTTCCATTTATTCGGAAGTTGTTGAAACGGATAAGAAAGAAACACAATTTTTGACAGGCGATGGCGATTATGAAATTCCTCTTAAGAAAACAAGTTTAAATTGATAATAATATTAGTTGTTAAATTAAAACCGATATGACTTGATATATTTTGTGTATATCTATATTGACTTCTCAGAAATGAATACATTTGAGCCGCGTCACGACAAAACCAACATAGTGCGTTTGCGACCAGCATGGATCCAGACCAGTCTGCGCATTCGCACAGTCTGATCAGGATCCATGCTGTTCGCTTACCAACTCTATTACAAGTAGAGAAACTGATAGCGAACAGCATGGATCCTGATCAGACTGCGCGGATGCGCAGGCTGGTCTGAATCCATGCTGGTCGCAAACGCACTATGCTGGTTTTGTCGTGACGCGGCTCATTTTTCACAAAATATGTGTTTTATGATTGATTAAGAACATATGAGATGCTGATTATCTGAAGAAAATAGTGATAAATGTGAAAAAAATAAATGTCAGCCAAATGTAAACAAAGTGTTGTTATGACTTCCATACAAAATACTAAATCACTTTTATAATTGCGAGGGCTATTTATAACGCCTCAGTGACGTTCATGTCTATAAATAGAAATTTCGGGAAATGTTTCGTCTTCTATACTAATTGAGTCAAGAGAGCGAACCTGTGTATAAGAGGGATTTCCTTCGTGTTTATGTATTTCATCGTCCCAAAATTTTATTTTCCATCTTAATTATTTGATTTTACAATTATATGAAACGCTTTATCTAAAAATAACACATTTTATCATTAGAAAACTTGAAGGCCGCTTTAATAGTCGATAATTCATTCATGTGCCTGCTTTGTCTAATTGATTGAGAACATGTGAGATGCAGATCATCCGAAGAAAAAATAGTCCTGAATGTGAAAACTTAAGAAAAACAAATAGGAAAAAAATGTCAGAAAGGTGGAAAACTGTAAACAAATTGGTATTTTGACTTCCATACAAAACAAATCACTATTCTTGGACTAATTGCCAAACACTCAATAAAAGCGTATGAAAGCTCATTCTGGTGGTTATTGGGTACTTATTGTAAAAAACTTTAACAAGACTCCGCAAATAAAAAGCTTTTTTAGAAATAAAAAACAGTAACATTTTAAGGCCTAATTGGCCTTTTAATATCATCATTAAACCAATTAGCAAACAAACCACAAATTGACATTACAGAATCTACAAAAAGCCGAGTAGAGATCATTTCAATGGTGTTTAATATATATTCTATTGGTAACATTCAAGGGTTCAACGGTGTCTGCTTTCAATTAAGTCTAAACAGTAATGACTCCTGAAAATATTTGTAGAAATCAAGCTGTATGGTATGATTTGAAAACTGAACTTTCCGATTTCTCAACAAACAGTACTTGTCACATTAAAATCATTATGATGGTTGACTGGGCTTTCCAGTATAAAGAGAGACCAATATCAAGATTTCAATTCTATGTCAATATTGTGTTATTTTAAATAATTGTATGTTAGCCATTTATGTGCCCGCTTTGTCTAATATGAGCCGCGTCATGACAAAAACAACATAATGGGTTTGCGACTAGCATGGATCCAGACCAGCCTGCGCATCAGCGCAGTCTGATCAGGATCCATGTTGTTCGCTATCAGTTTATTTACTTGTTATAGGGTCTGTAAGTGAACAGCATGGATCCTGATCAGACTGCGTGGATGCGCCGGCTGGTCTGGATCCATGCTGGTTGCAAACCCATTATGTTGGTTTTGTCGTGACGCGGCTCATATATTTACCAAAGAGCACCTGAGATCTTCATCGACCAGTACAAGTGAACAGTCGCTATATGATGTTTTTTACATTTTTTTTCCAGTCTTGAAGTCACTTGTAAGCTCAACAAAAAATGTTCATTTTCGTCATGCCATTCATCTTATACCTTAATTCAATACTCATAAGTATTAATATATTAATTTCATCGTACGTGGCTTAATGCAAGTTTGAACCAATATCCCCGCTTATCTGCTTAGCTCATTAGGGATAGCACTGAATGTGTAATCCAGTTGCCGCTTGTTCGATCCTCGTGCGAAATTTTTCTGTGACAACTGATCTCGAACATCAATAGTGTAATAGTAATTCAGAAATCATGTGGGTTACTTAATGTGTAATGACTATTTAGATTTCCAGTAAAGCCGGCTAGGTTGGTCGACCGCCGAGATATGACCAAGAATTTGATCGAAAAAAAAGTGTAACAGTATTTAACAGCTATTAAAATTATATGTTGTAGCATTGGAAAGTCATAAAATTGTTTTGCGGTATTGGACAGCTGTAAATATTGTGTTGCAGTATTGGACAGCTGTAAAAATTGTGTTGCGGCATAAGACAGGTATTAAAATTGTGTTGCGGGTTTAGATACCTGTAAGAATTGTGTTGCATGGAAGAACAGCTGTCAACTTTGGCTTCTTTTGGCTTGATAAATGGTCAAAACACATCAAGCTCATTCACTAGTTGTATATTTATAGAAGGTTTTTGATTATCTTGAGGGAATCTGACTCTACAAAAACGTAATGACACATCTTGAATATATTTTGCATTAAGTCATGTGCGTTGTACAAACATTGCATACAAATAGTTTTTACTCTTAATGTATGAGTATGTTTTGTTTGTTTGTTTTTTCCTAATTGTTTTATTTATAATTATTATTAACTTGCCATATTTACATAAAAAGAGAGTTACGTTTCATAATCATATATCAATATATGGAAAGTTTGATAGACAAAGTTATTAATATTATATAACTTTCACATCACACTGATGGTGATGGAACTCAGTATACACCCTAGTCAATGATGTCAACGGAGGATCTAGCCAACGCTCACATAATCGTGAACAATTTGTTCGAGATGTTATATTTCTTTTATTATACAAACAAATCAATATTAAAGACACATATCTCAAACATGATATCGGTATTTGAGAAAGACATCTAACTAGTTTATCATTTCCTTTTCCAACATTTAAAACCCATGTGAATTTATAGTTAAGTAAGCGTATTGAGCACTTAAACAAGGGAGGTAATCAATACGGAACAGAATAACGCATATTATTAAGGTGACAAATCGCAGTGTTGCAAAATAATTAATCATATTTTCTTTTGAAATTAATGCATTTCAAATGATAACCACCAATACATAAAAAATAACTGTTTTGCATTGGAATGGGCACGTAGGTGTTATATTTTTTATTCTAAAGACTTTTAGTTTTATTCTTTATCTCGCTATTAACACTATTAATAGGTAGTATATAGCGTTATACATTATGCGTTTTATCTATACTTGAGATATCTTTGGCAATGCTAGCTGTGATTTTTTTCTTTACACGACATCTACCTTGTATCATATCTTTCAATATATATATTTAAAAAAATAGAATATGATTTATTCCAGTGCAGTCACACTCCGGTATTATAACATAAGCCTGCGTCACATTACACTCCGATTAGGTTAACGATGGAGTACTGATGCCTAAACGGGCTGAAATTGTCAATTTTTTAAAGGTCTCCGGCCGGTGACCCTCCGGTGTCAAGTGACCGGTTGGGCACCGTACAGGTAATCGGAGAATTTTAGTGCAGAGTTATTTTTTTTCCGGCATCCGGTACATCGCCAGCGCAACGTAGCAGACACGGTAAAATACCCTCCGATACCCGGCCGGACACCTTTTGTTATCGGTTACATACCGGTTAGAATTTTTACCTCCTGGGCGCCAAAAATTCCTCCAGTTTCCGAGCGGTATCTGAGCGGTCACCGAAGGCGTCTCGGCATGTTACTGCCCCGGACCCGGATGGACTCAGTACGTCGCATGTATGATCCTAAAATGTCCGTAAGGATAGCGTTGGGGTTATTAAACAGACCTTACGGCAGGTAAAGCCTTTGACCCGTGTTCAATTCTCGGACGACGGTGAAGGTCACTTTCGTTGTACAGATGTTATCAGTACCTTGCGAAAGTGAAAGCGTTTATTAATGTTTAACTGCTTGACAGACTGTCCAGGAACGATGCAGTGGCTGAACTGTGCTATGGTATGTATATTAAAGTTGGTTTATCGCCAAAGTCCTCAGGGAAAATCATTTATAACACCATCATTCTCTCATTAGCCAGCGTGCAGAGCTGAATCGGTTAGACCGCTAAACTTGTCATCTGTCCATTGTGGGTTCGATTCCCGGGATGACCAACTGAAATGAATAGAAATCTTTCAGACTTTAAAGCGAGGCCCCTGTATGAGTGCTTAAACTCTTGGATATGTAAAAAAGAAGGAGAAGATTGTTTGGGGTCCTGCTTGGCTCTTTGACGTTGGTTATTCTGTGTTGCTAGATAGTGTCGAGGTTGCCTTCATTGAACACCGCCTTCCTTATTGATCTTGTTTTTCATATTTTTCTGAAATTAGGGCATCTTGCTATCTGTATCTTGCGCTGTCCTCCAACATCTAGAACGACTTAACTCTTCTGGAGGACTCGCCTATACAGGCAACCGATGGCGAGTATTTAGAATTTCAATTACACACACATATTTTCTCAGTTTTCACACACGTCCATGGAGGTTTATAAAAGTTTTCAATTTTCATTTACAATCTTTTATGGAAAACTTTGATTTCAGAGTGTAATATTCCTTCCAAAACAGAAAGCAAAGAAGGGGTGGGGGAGAAATCAGAGGGGAAGAAGGCAAGGAAAAATGCCAACAAAAGAGGGGGTGTGAATAACGGCCGGAAAATGGGATAGCATGCCATACGAATACCATCCGACAGCCGACCGGATATCGCACGTATATTTAACCGTCACCGCACGATTGTTTTAAACAGGCCTGATAACGGAAGGCAATTGGACATTTATCGTACGGTAGTCTGCCGGGTACCTTTAGAATATCAACCGGTGTCCAGAAAGAAGACGCCGGGGGTTTTCACCGGGTGACCGGGCGAGTACCCTTCGGAAACCGTCCGAATACCTAACTGACCACAGAGGGAGAATGACCGCCCACTTCTTCCCGGACATGATAGAAATGTTTCTCTCCGATCTCATATTATCAACGGTGTCCCATCGATCCCTCTATACCGGCTGGTCCCCGCTTGAAATGTGACGTAGGCAATAAGGTTAGGTAAAAGTTGTATATATTTATGACCCAAGTGTTTAAGTTACTGCGCATTAGCTTTTTACATACCTGAATACCGAGGAATGTGTCTAACTTTAAGTTTACTTCCTTAAGTATCAACTTCTTAAGAGTGTTGAACAATTTTTAATAGCAACATAAATACATATTTCATGCAAAATAAATTTCCGTATTTATACGTTAAGAGAATATTTGT